TTTAGTGAACTTTAAAAGGCGCCGACAAAAGGGAACAAAGCTTGCCGAAGGAGTGGGTAATTACCGCAATGGGACCGACTACCCCATTGGCCAGACGACCAGTATTCTTCTCACTAGCAAGAGGGTAAAACGGCCCCGTGATGCACCTAGCGACTCCAGACTGGCAAGACTGGATCGTGTGGAAGCTCCAACTGGAGAGTTAGCCATCGTATTCACGGATATTAAAAAGTCCACGTCACTATGGGAAACGTACCCCATCGCCATGCGATCCGCGATCCAGATACATAATGAACTGTTCAGGCGGCAACTGAGTCTAACTGGTGGTTTCGAAGTCAAGACGGAGGGAGACGCGTTTATGGTTTCCTTTAGCACCGTTACTGCAGCTTTGTTATGGTGCTTTACTTGCCAGACTCAATTGCTTGATGCACCCTGGCCCACTGAGATTTTGGAAGCGCCTGCCTGCCAGGAACGATTCGATGCTGATGGGAATCGAATATATCGTGGCTTGTCGGTTCGAATGGGAATGCATTGGGGCCAGCCTGTGTGCGAAAGGGACCCTGTAACTGGACGTATGGACTATTTTGGGCCTATGGTCAACCGTGCATCGCGCATTTCGGCAGTCGCAGACGGCGGTCAAATTTTCGTTTCGTCCGATTTCGTCGCAGAGATTCAGAGGACCTTGGAAGCTTTTGCGGACTTCGAACGAAGTAGCTCCACAGGTTCGGAAGATACGTTTCCTGACGATCTGTTGAACAACTCCATTCGGAATGATTTATATCAGCTGAGCACCCAGGGCTTCGAAGTTAAAGATCTCGGCGAACGCAAACTGAAAGGCCTTGAGAACCCGGAGTTTGTGTACTTGATGTATCCGCATTCATTGGCTGGCCGGCTGGCTTACCAGCCTGACTTGTCTGAAGAGCGAGTTGAAATGCCGGTCCCTGGGACTCTGGGGAGAAACTCGAAACTTAACATTGAGGCGGATCAGTTCTGGCGATTGATGAAGATAGGACTTCGTCTAGAGGCGTTCTGCAGTGCCTTGGAAAACCCGAGCGCGTCGACATTGATCGAGCCTGATATCAACCTGATCAACGCACTCAAGGCTAGGGGCGGTGAGATTACTGATTCTTCGGTTTTGAACCTCCTCGAACATCAGGTCGCTCGTATTGAGGTAAGCAGTTCTTTTAAAATCAATGTTTGATATTATGTCCTTACTTGGCATACAGACTTGCACAAATACGCTTTCGATCCGCCATATGATGCGACCCTTTAAGCCGGGTGATACGCTTGAAGATCATGCCGTTCCCATGATCGACATTATCAGACAGCTCCAAGTTCAACTAGCCGAGTTCAAAGCGTTAAAAGAACAGATCAACATCGTCAATCCCAGCATATCTGTCCCGCCGCCGTCCACCGCTTCAAGCGGCACGCCGCTTCGCCGCGCGGTATTTTTGGGCAGCGAGCGGGCGTCATCTACTCCTACCATTGTGGATCTTGGCGGTGAAGGTTACGCCGACGATGAGGATACCACGGAGTTCGAGCCTGTTTGATGGCGCGATTTTTTTTTTGCCCTTTCATTTCTTCTGTTTTGGCGTTTGTTTGACCTTGCTCTTCGCGTCGGTGCTGGACATGAAATAGGGAATAGGACTGTGATTGGCAACGGAATGGGGTGCGGTTGGGCCGGGTCGTTGTGAGCTTCTTTTAGGCGAGTTGGAACCGGCGTTTTGCGTGGTTCGAGCTGTTTTAGCAGAAGCATTCCTGGAGATGATTTTCTTGCACATACTTCCATATCCGCTGTATTTTGTTTGTTCCTTGGGTCCCTGGGTCGGGAGAATCGGGATATTTGTTGGCATTTGACCAGCTTTAGATTCTTTCAGGCCGTCGTTGTTTTCGTCCGATTGTATAATTTTATCATCTACCTTACAGCGTTGTTTGATGAACTGATGCTCACCTGCTTGGCATGATGTCTTGGCACTGCTGAGGTAAGCCTGGCGTTGTTGTGGCGCTGTTGCCTTGTTTGCATCAACAAAAGCATCATCAACATCGCTTCGCCGCCCAGTTCCATCCACGCTGCCCATCTGCTCACCTTGAGGCAATTCCCGGTTGGCGCGCTGGTCATTGACTCCTTTCATACGCAGTATCAGAAGCTGCCTCCCATTCTGCGACCGCTTGCGCATAGCAATTTCTGGTGGTCTCCACCGTGTTGCCCTGGATACCGCGTCACTTTGTTTGTCGCTTGTGCTGCAAATCTGAAAAATTTCGGATGCTGTTATTCAACTCTTAAGCGCATAGGATTGATTTTGATTCCACTTCTGTTTTCTCCAAGCCCACCTGGTCGGATACGCTTTATTCGACTCTAGTCGCCGTCTCAGACCCCGTCTCCCACCCGGTCAGGCCAGATCTCGCATTTGGCAACATGGCCAGCTTTGACAGCGGCGACGAACTCGCCTACCTGATGCCTGGCTTTGACCTCAACTCTCTAACCGTCCCGCGACTTCGATCCATTCTCGTGAATCATGACGTTCCTTATCCCACATCCGCGAAGAAGGCGCAGCTGATAAGCATCGTGGAATCCGATGTGCTACCAAAAGCGAAACAGCTTCTACGCCAACGCGATCGCATACACGAACAAGTGAGGGCATAATTTGATATGCCAAGTAGCCAGGAGAGTGGAGAAAGACGATAGAGCCAGTGCCAGGCGTTCGAGCTTCACCAGCTACGCCGTCTACAGAGAGGAGATCACGAGCCAGTACGAGGCAGT